GTGTGTCTAAAAATGTTTTACAATTGTAACCAGCTCCATAAGCAAGAACATTTTTTTTATAGTTGTTTTTCTTATAGTTCTCTTATGTTTCCAGTTCCTAGGCCAGTAAGATTTGCTGAGCAGAACTTTGAAACTCTGTCCCACTGACGTGTTCCCTTCTGAGTTTCTTTTCCAGAAACCATGGAGACTCTCTGCAGGCAGAGATCACTACCCAGCCTCAGACCACCTGTTTGTCCAGAGAAGACAGGATAAACCACAGCTCACCACAGACTGTGCCCAAGTACCCACTGAGCCTGTGCATAAGGCCGAAAGAATGAACAATATTAACCCCTGGCTCATTATAATACTAAAGTCCCCACCCTGGGAGGGACTTCTCCCCCATTTTTATCATCGCATGTATGAACTAGCATGATTCCTCACTGCGCTTCCATGCCCTGCACTCTGCCCCAAACATGTAATGATGCTCACTCCCCTCATGCATTATTCATTTCACCTCCAGAAACACCCCTGACCCTGTTGACTGGGGAGGAGGATTTGCGACAGTTCATACCTCCCCCTCCCAGTAGATACGTCCACTGTAATAAATCCTTTCTTCCTGGACAAGCCTCCTTGTCTCAGTAATTGGCTTTCTGTGCAGCCAGCAACAGTGAACTCCCCTGGTGGGTTTGTTAGTACAACTGATTTGCCGAATTCCTTTTGAATCAGAGTTGTCTATGCCAGCAGTCCCCAACCTTTTTGGAACCAGGGACTGGTTTCATGGAAGACAATTTTTTCACTGATGGTGGTGAGGGCGCAGAGGCAGAGCTCAGGCGGTGATGCGATGGATGGGGAGCAGTGGCAAATACAAACAAAGCTTTGCTCACTCCCCACTGCTCACCTCCTGCTGTGTGGCCCTGTTACTAAGTTTCATGGAAAACAATCTTTCCACCCATTGAGTGGGGGTGGCGGTGGCAGGGGAAGGGAGTGCTGGCAGAGCCTGTGTGGTCCAGTTGCTAACAGGCTGCCGACCAGTGTAGGTATGAGGCCTGAGGTTGGGGACCACAGGTCTATGCCCATGTTCTCCACACAGTATAACTCTGCCATTCAAAGCATTGGTCAGGCAGCGGTTTCAACCATGGGTGCATGTAAACTCATCCATATTCCTCCCATGGAGGGGTTTGGTCTGTGTTCCCTCCCCCTGAATTTTGGCCAGCCTGTGACTGCTTTGACAAATAGAGTACAGTGGAACTGACACTATGTGACTTCCAAGGTGATATCATAAAAGGCTCTACAATTTCTGCTTTGCCCACTAGAAATAGTCACTCTTGGAACTCTGAGCCACCATGTTAAAAGCCCGAGCACCCTGAAGCCACCATGCTCTGAGGAAGCCCAAGTCACATGGAGAGGCCACATGCAGGGTCTCCGTTAACAGTCCCCACTGAGCCCAGCTTTTGTGTCCTCTTACCCAGGTGTGGCCCTTGTGAGTGGAGAAGCCTCCAGATAATTGCAGTCTTCAATCGCTCAAGTCATGTCGGCTGCTCAAGTCTGCCCGTTGGAGGCCCTGACACGTGGAGCCCTCCTTGCCCTGCCCGCTCCGAATATCTGATCCTCAGAACCTGTGTGAGCATAATAAAATGGTTCTTGGGTCACTAAGAGTGGGGTGGTTTGGTCCATGGCTGTAGAGAACTGGTACGTCCCTTATTCACAAGGATGTTGGCAACATCCCACTGTCTTCATCTCCTTCTAGGTCCTTCCCTCCCCTGGGGGACATCAGTGATCACACAGATGCCCTCCGTTTCCAACCCGCCGGCCTCCCAGTTCCTTTTCCTCCTCACCCACAGTGACCTCCTTACCTAAGCCACCCCAGGTAGCTCTGTCACTCAACAAAAAGGCAGGTTCTGTGGGGATTTGAAGGGACACCTGTGAGGGCATCAAGGAACACGGAGGCTTCTTCTTACACCCCTCAAAGGCCCTGTGACAGCCCCTTGGGATGGTCAGCTTGCAGAACATTGGGCAGAGCTGCAGGTCACAAAGTCACCATGTCAACCTTCCTGTCAATCATAACAACAGGGAACTCTGCCCCCAGGGTGGGGGAAGGGCAGGCAGGTGGCTGAGGCAGGTGTCCCCAGAGCCAGCTACTGACCCTGCTCCCTGCAATCTGGGCAGGTACCTGGTGTTGGGCCGCAGTGTGCCCCGGTGGTGGCACAGGCAGAGGCCACAGAGAGTGGACAGAGGTGGCCGGTGCTCAGAGAACCTGGGCCCTGGCCCAAGAACCCAAGAGCAAGCTGAGGTCCCAGGGACATCCAGGAAAATGGGGAGCCGTTGTGTCCGGGGACCCTGCTCGGCGCTGTTCCTGCTGCTGCTGCTGCTGCTGCCTCCCCCGCTTTTTAGAGTAGGAAGTTTCCAGCACCCAGGACCTGGCTGGAGAATCTTCCACCACCTGGACTCCAGAAGGGCCCATCACCGCCACGGCCCAGGCACCAGGCATCACGGGCGCCAAGTGCAAAACCAGCCATTTTGCAGGGGCAGATTTGACCTCTACTACATCCTGGACAAGTGAGTGCCCTTCTAGGCCTGGCTCTGCGTGGCCACAGGAGCCGCCATCCCCTTTTCGCTGGGGGCAGGACAGGTCCTGGAGCCCAGAGCTTCTGCCAGAGAACTGGCCAACCTTTTGTCAGACGACCAGAGCTAGGCCGCCTTCTTTCCTGAGGCAGAACGAAGGTCCCAGGTATTTGTTCCCTGGTACGTTGTCTCTTGGATGGGGGAAAATACATCTGTCACATGTCATCATGCCCTGATGTACCGACAGAGAGCCATCCAGGCCCCTGAGGTGGCTCTCATGCCCCTTTGACAACTGATTACCAGGGGCTGCCTTTCAGCAGTTGTTACAAGCTCACTGTGAATATTTGTTTTTTTGTGTTGTTTTGTTTGTTTCTTTTTTGTCCCAAATGATTTCTGTTTTACTAGGCCCAGAGAGATTGCCCTGTTGCCCGTGTCAGGCCTTCTAATAGTGTCACTGCTTAGAAAAGTCCTTTGCTTTGCAGCTTCTAAGTGCTTTTTTACACCCTGGAGAGCCCGTGACAGTTCCTGCACTTTCGGGAACAGCTTGGTCTGTCTCAGTGTGGCCCTGGGACAGCTGGGCTGTGCAGTAGGCACCTTCCAGCTCTCAAAGAAAGAAAGGGGGCGGGTCTTCAGTCCTGGCGACATTGTGTCGGTTGCGTTGCAGCTGCTGCTGTTGGGCGGAATAGACCTGGTGGTCACTCTCTGCTCCAGCAGCGGAGCGACTGTCAGTGGGTGCTGGAGCACTTCGCTGTGTCCAGAGCCCCTCCCCCGCTCTCCTGCATCCTCAGATCCATCCCGGGACGTGCAGGAGCGCAGGCATTTGTCTATCCTATTTCCTGGCCAAGGGGGGGGGGGGTCCTGGAGGTTGGTGAAGTCCCAGAGGCAGGTGTTGCGACAAGACTTGGGCGTCCTGCTCTGCGCTCTTCCCGCCGTCCCAGGTGGAACGCCCTCTGACGTTCTCATTCCCTTGGACGCTGATGCTTGGCCGCTGCTCGGCTGCTCTCGGGGAAGGGGCAGCCTGGCGTCAGAGGCAGGCAGACCCCACTCGCCAGCCATGTGGCCTTGGGCAAGTTGCTTCATGTCTCTGTGCCTCAGTGTCCCCATCCTGAAAAGGGTATCTTCATACCCACCTTGGCAGGTGTGATGAGGAAGAAGGGAGAGTTCCTAGGTCAGAGGCGATAGCCGAGGGTGCGTGCGACGTGAACTGCCAGGCAAGGCAGAGTCACAGGCTGGGGACTCCCGCACTGCAGGGCCCTGCCCCAGTCCCGGCTGCTGGGCTGCAGGGTTGCAGCTGTCTGTTTCCCTGTGCCCTCTGCCTCCGGCTGGGCTGGGTCAGAGCTCCTCTGGGGGTGTTGCAGGGCAATTAAGCCTGGACCTGGGCCAGGCACTCCCAAGGTGCTCTGCGATCTGTCACCCGTGCGAAGAGCCTGTCTTGGCCATTCGCTCTTTCCCTTGCTGATTCATCTGCTCAGGAAGAGTTTCTGAGCAGCTCCTAAGTGCTGGTCAGTGTTTGGGGTGGTGAGGATAAGGCAGCGAACAAAACTGGACCAAGTCCTTGCCCTCCTGGACCTTGCACTTGAGTGGAGAGACAGGCAATAAACAAACTAAAGAGGAAAGTCATGTGTCACTTGCGGATAAAATCAGGGCAGAAGGGTGGGAAGAGCTGAGGGCGGGGCCTTCTAGACAGGCGGTCAGGGGAGGGCGCTGCCTGCACTGCCGGGCGAGGCTCCTGTGGGCAGTGTCTCCTGGCAGAGGAGGGGTGTGACTAGGCTCCTGTTCAGAAAGCATGACAGTTGACGGGGTGCAGGCAGAGAAGGCAGGAGGCCAGTGCAGCACCCAGGGAAGGGAGGATGGTGGCCTGGGCCAGTGGGCAGGGTGGAGGTGAGGAGTGGCCGAAGTCTGGATCTGTGGTGACGATGGAGGCTATGGGATCCCAGACAGGTTGGATGGGGGATGCGGGGCGGGGGGCCTGCACTGGGCGTACAGGGAGGAAAGGAAAGCACGTAAGTCAGTGAGTTTTCCTAACAAGCTGGGTAGCTGTTGTCGCTCCCATTGCAGAGAGGAGATGAGGCAGCTCACAGCCAGGAATGACTCCCTGCAGCTCCGATAGGCAGCCGCGGAGCCGGGATTGGAACTCTGGACTGTCTGATTCCAGAGCCCACCCAAAGACCACGCAGCTGGGTGGGTCTCTGAAGATCCCTGCGGGGGTCCTCTGGGCAGAAACAAGCTGCTACCTACAGGAAGGCTCTTTGGCCATTTGAGCCCATCTTATTTACGAGATTTCTTATTGAGTTGTTCATTCATTTCACTGAACTGGAAGAAAATGAATGAGTCCATGCTATTTGTTTAGTGATTTTAAAAACTGTGATAGAATATACATGACAAAAATTTACCATTTTAACCACCTTTAAGTATACAATTCAGTGGCATTAAGTACATTCACAGTGTAGTGTAACCACCGCCATCCATCTGTAGCACTTTCTCATCATTAAATACTGACGTTCCGTTCCCATTGAACAATAATTCACCACTCCTCTCTCTCGAAGCCCTGGTAACCTCTATTCTGTTTTCCGTATCCATGAATTTGTCTAGCGTAAGTATCTCTTGTAATGGGAATTGTATGATATTTGGCCTTTTGTGTCTGGCTGGTTTCACTTAACATAATGTTTTCAAGATTCGTTTGTGTTGTAGCATCTATCAGAATTTCATTCCTTTTATGGCTGAATAATATTCCACTGTACGTAATATACCACATTTTTTTAATCCATCCATCTATGGATGGATGGACACTTACTTGGGTTGTTTCTGCCGTTTGGCTATTGTGAACAATGCTGCTGTGAACACTGACATACATCTATCTGTTTGAGTCCCTGCCGTCACTTTTTTTGGGAACGTACCTAGGAGTGGGATTGACGATCATATGGCTGTGTCCGCTTTCTGAGGAACTTCTGAACTAATTCCCACAGTGGACGCGCCACTTTACATTCCCACCATCAAAGCACAATGGGTCCAATTTCTTCACAGCCTCTCCAACACTTGTTATTTTCAGTTTTTTTGATAATAGCCATCCCAATGCATACAGAGTGCTTTCTCAGGGTAGCTTTGATTTGCACTTCTTCAGTGACTAGTGATGCTGCATCCTTCCTTTTGAGCACATGTGCTTATTGACGATTTGTATTTTTTCTTTGGAGAAATGTCTTTTGCCCATTTTTTGTTTGTTGTTTCTTTTTTGTTCTTGCTGTAGGAGTTCTTTGTATATTCTGGATATTAATTCCTTGGCAGATGCATGATTTGCAAATTTTGTCTCCGTTCTACAGGTGTGTCTCACTCTCTCTGTAGTGTCCGTGGAC